TCCAACAGTTTAATTTTTCCAGGCAACTCTAAATAACCCCTCCCAGACCATCTCATTACCACTCCCTTCACCCGCTTAAGCACCTTAGACATGGGCTTCCCCTTTTCCTCTTTACAAATATTATCCAGATCCGTACCCATCATCTTGGTAAAACCCTCCTCCTCCATAACATAGTTAAACAACCTAAACGGCTTCAGGCCCCAATTGCAATCTTTATTCTCCAACAAAATAATATTATAATCGGAAACGGACCTTGGCTGCAATGATTGACTTAGCTTCGGGAACAAACTTACTAATCTCTGATCAACCAAAAACCGATCCAACCTCTCAAACGTAGGAACTTCCCTATTATTACACCATGTAAAACGGCCTCCAGACAGTGGCAAATCGAGCAAATTTGCCTTGCTCACAAAATCCCTAAAAATATTCATAGACACCGAATTCACAGCTCTTTCTTTCTCCTCCTGAGACAAAACTACGTTGAAATCTCCTCCTAAGCATAATGGACAATCCACGTTATCCAAAAAAGATAATAGCTCCCTGAAAAATGTCTCTTTCTCTGCATCCACACTAGGGCCATACACATTAATGAAACAACAACTTCCTGAGAGTCCCTCCATAGTCCCTTTTATTACTATAAATCTGCTATAAATGACATCTTCCATCACAAATTCCTTCTGATTCCACAAGGTTAGTAAACCACCAGCAGAACCTATGGAAGGAACTACCTCCTTGCCATTGCAACTCTTAACTTCCCACCTCCTAGAATAATCATTCTTATAAAAACCTCTTTCAATGTTACTTACTGACGCACATTTCCCAGTATGACGACGCCTCGCCGGTGATATAGACCGATTCTGCAAGTTTAAAACAGATTGATCACCAATTGCCACTTGTTTGACTTCTGACCAAGCTGGTATTAAGCCCATTATCTTGTACACCCTTATCCTGGCCCAAGGTGAAACCTTCCACGGTTCTCTCCTTTTCTCTTTCTTCATTAAATTCCTCTGACACTCTCTGTTAACTGGAAACATCACCTACTGGTGCTACCTCCGCAGAACAAAAGTCAACAACCAACATATGTTTTGTCCCTTCTATTATTTTCAAATTTCCATCGATAACCGTATCAACCCCTTGTTTATCACCCCGCACCCATACTTTTGTCCTGTCCTGAGAGTCTGACAAGGACTGATCACCCAACTGCTCTTCCTGTCCCTCCTGGACATCCCGCTGGCTCCAGTCCGGCGAATTCTCCTCCCAAGAAGCCACTGTTCCGTCATCTTCAACCAAATCATCCAACTCTGGAAAAAAATCTTCACTCCCTTCCACTTTAATTTTAATGATAAACGATCTTCCATACGTGTTAATGGAGACATGAGAAGGAATGTCAAAAGCACTCTCCACCCTTAGCAACATATGAGCCACCTTGCAATCCACTTTTTGAACTGTTTGCTCCTGAATCTTCACTAGCTTGCCCCATCTCGATGCCAAATTGGTGAAGAATGGTACCGTCCAACAATTTAATGGAACACCTAACAAGGAAACAGCACAATAGGCTAAAGAGACGGAATTCTCCTCCACAACAGATTCCAGCCTTTCAAACCAGAAAGACAGAGCCTCCCACTTCTCTTCTATTATTGCTTCTTTCTCCTCCACTGTGTTGAAGATAATCAAACAAGCATTTTTTGTATATCCCCACCTGACCACCTTTACATTGAATCCTTCATTCCTTAATGCCCTTTGCACAAATTCCACTTCGAAGATCGCCTTACAAATGCCTGTTAAAGACGACCTCAGCCATCTCCTCTCCTCCGTTGGAATAAACACTTGCATAGGCTTTTTCACCTCCCTCTTATCTCCTACGTTGCACAAATGATGACCATCACCTTTTTTCACCCCCACCACCGTATCCTTGTAAGTTCTACCATCATGAAACTTATTCAACAACTCCTTTCTCTCTACAACATCCACCCGGGATATTGGTCTTTTTCCTTTCAACTCCTCTGCACCTGCATCTCTAAACCCCACCACACTATTTTGTTTCAAGCTTCTCGCAGCACTATTTCTCTGATATTTCGCAATCAATACCAGTAATCTCCTCCCATCGACCACAACATTATTCATTTGTTCCACTGCCTTCAGCAAATCCTCCTCGCTTGCAAAATGAACAAAAGCAAACGTACTGACCTTATAATTAAGTCTCCTATTAACGAACGGAATAAACAACTTGATCACCTTGCCATGGACGTTAAATCGATTCCATAAAGCTCTTCTATGCACACCCCTACTAAGATTATCTACGAACGCTACCCATGATACTCCTCCAGACAACACTCTATCTCTGTCTGAAGAGAAGTTCGCTACCCGCTGCTCTCTCACTCTCTCTCTATCCATTTTTGGAGAGGATAAAGGTTACGTTATCCACAAAGCACCTAGTTAAAGCTGTAAAACATGGTAGACCTGAAAATCAAAGTGAAAACAGTATACAATTCTCTTCGCTTTTGATTTGGGAAAGCAACGTAAGTCGAGTGAAAGGAAGATAAGGAAATTTTCCGGTGTTCTCGATTTGAATCTTACTAATCGGGCTCTATTGGGAAAGTGGGTGTGGAAATTTGCCAATGATAAAAAATCCTTATGGAAATGTGTGTTGTGTAGTAAACACAAGGTTAGCTGCAATACACTGCCTATTAGGATGGTTACTTCTCCTCAATCTTCTTGGATTTTGAGAGGTATTACTAATAATTTCTTGAAGAATGATTCGGTAGGGGATTATCTCAGATCAAATTTGAAATTGCAAGTGGGAAATGGAAAGTCCATTTCTTTTTGGAATAATGCATGGGTAGATGAGTTCCCTCTAAAAAATCTATTCCCTAGAATCTTTGTGTTTTCTCTTAATAAATAGGGGAAGGTTGCAGAGTTTGGCAGCTTTGATTCGTTCGGTTGGGTGTGGAATATTCAAACTAGAAGGAATTTGTGTGATTAGGAATTGGATCAGTGGATGGACTTGATGTCAAAACTGAAGGATATTAAACTGTTAGAGTCGATGGAAGATTTCCTAACTTGGTCTGCAAGTGGTGATGGACTGTTTTCGGTTAAATCTTGCAGAAGTTCTCTTGGTAATGTGTTTGGGGGTAGTGATATGTGGTTAAAAGGGGTTTGGATGGGATTCGTTCCACCTCGGGTGGAAGCTTTCCTTTGGCAGCTAGCTCATCAGAAAGTGGCAGTCAGAGCAGAGTTGGTTAAGAGAGGATTATCCCTAGGTGATGATATTCTCTGTCCTTTCTGTAAGAAGCATGAGGAATCAGTGCAACATTTATTTATTTCGTGTTTTGTTGTCTGGGAATTATGGAATAAAATTGCTAGCTTCTGGGATTTATCCGTTGTTTTACCCCAAGACCCTCCTTCCCTTCTTAGCTCCTGGGGTGACTTGAGGATGAACTCGGTGATTTGGAAATTTATTTCGGGTGTCATTTTTTGGTCAGTCTGGAAAGTTAGGAATACAATGGTGTTTGAAGAAGCACCTCTTGACAGGCTGTCTCTGTTTTTCATTGTTAGATTCAGACTATTTAAATGGTTCCTAGCCAAGTTCCCTATACAGGAGGATGTGTTGATTGGAGATCCATCTCTTGCAGATGGTATTTCAGTTCCTAGCTCTAAAGATTGTCATGCCATTCGTTGGATTCCCCCCAGTAGACTTTCTAAAGATGAATGTTGATGGAGCTGTTAGGCTTGATGGCTCGGATGGAGGAATTGGAGGCTTTTTAAGAGATTGGAATTGTTGTACACTTTTGACTTTTTCAGAGAATGTTGGTCAAGGAACTCCTCCACTTGTTGAATTAAAGGCTATAAAAAGAGGCATTGAAATATTTTTGTCATCACGATGGGTATTTGTTGGTAGGTTGATAGTCGAGAGTGATTGTAAGTCTGCAGTGGAATGGATTCAGTCCCCGGCTTTGGCTCCTGCTTTTTTCTTGCCTTTAGTTTATCAGATTTTGTCTCTCATTTCTGGAAAGGTGCAATCAGTTAGGTTGATTCCAAGGGCGTGTAATAGGGAGGCAGATAGTTTAGCAAAGAAAGGGATAAGCTTATTGTAAGGATACAACTGTGGTTTTTCTGTTACTGTGCGCAAGTTTATGTGGTTGGAGGGGTTTTTAAGTTTTATGTATGCAGTTTGGTGTAATGGTTAAATCTTTTGTAATTTTCAATATTAATAAAATTTCTAAGGCACTCTTTTCTTTCTTTCGCTGATTAAGGAGCTTCCTCTCAAGATCCATTAATCAAGAAGGGGGTTTTTAATGAGGCCTTTAATTCCTTTAAAAAAAATCATCCTCAAATGATTTTTCATGTTTGATTTGGTACTTTGCAGTTCAAAGAATGCATTAGAAAGTATTCTAGCTTTCATTTCTTTCTCGGAAAACAAGTAGAACTACCAAAACTTCCATTTAGTATCTATCATGTTGGAAATTTCATTTACTGTCGGGATCATCTATTAACAAATTCCATAGAAAGATCATATTCAAGTAATTTAATAGAAAAATCTTTGATTTTCTGCTAGAAATTGCATAATAGGTTAGTTATTAGTTTGTCCTTAATGATTACTTTTGAAGAATTCAATTTTCAACACAATGGATCTTTATTTTTCATGTGTGATTTAACATATTTATATATTGAACAAGATGCCTATCAAACACATCAAGCATCACCATACAAAAGACAGAAAGTATTTTAGTTGATATTGTAGTTAACTGAAAGCTAAAAACATTGATGTATCATGAATTGACACCTATCCATGTCATGCTTTATGCTGCAAAGTAAGAGCCAAGAACTTTAAATTCCAACCCATTATTTGAGAAAAATCTGGCATTATAATTTTCTTGCTCCATCCTTAATTGAGTATCAATGAAAAGCTTCTTTTAGTTCTTTTTTTTCATCCTAAAGCAGTAGCTAAGTTAATTTTGTACAGCTTTTTCAATAAAAAGTTCCACCACGAGATGGCTTACATTAAGATTTGCTTCTGCCACTTTTTCAATCTGTGCTGCTTTCTCTGTTGCAATTGCTGCAGCCAGTTCTGCTTTTCCTAGCTCCTGAGCTTTTTGCAACTTCAGTTCAGCTTCTCTTTCCTGCAATAACCAAGAAATAAGAATTTGATTTTGTGATTATGAAATTATGCACCAAAATTTCTTTGTTAGGATAACAGTACTTACCTTTTCTTCAAGTTCCATCCTCAGTTTCTCTTCCATTTTTTCTTGAAGTGCTTTTATAGCAGCTGCAGCCTTTGTTCTTTCTCTCTTTAATTCCTGAAAGGGGTAAACTCAAATTCTCAGCAGCTTGAATCTGCAAAATAATATAATAACTTGTCTTCTTTGACTTTATTTTTCACCTCTTTGGGGGGCATATAAGCGAGTGGGCATACTCAATCTGTAACTAAACTGACTGTGACTTTCCAGGTATCACAATAAAAGAAGCATGCTTATAAAAAGCCATAAGACACAATTAAAGAATGGCTTAAGTTGATAGATAAAAGTACTGATGTAATTTCACGAACTAGCATAACAATTCAGAGAAATTGATTGGGATGGATAGTCCCAATTCAATTCATAGTTACTGGCTTTCCTTAAGATTTACAAACAGATTGACATTGCTCCGAACTGATACAAGTAACAATTTTCTCCGGCTACTAAAAACAGGAAAAATCCAAATTCATAGGTATAAAAAATTTGTATGAACTCTGTTAAATGGGATAAGTATTTTCTTTAAGGTGTGAAATCTTAGAGCCTCACCAATCAATCACTGTCAGCAAGTACTATAACAACCTCAACATTTAATCAACTTGTTCTGTTAGACAGAACGACAACAAACCCAGTCAGCCTCATGTTCAATCCTGACATGCAGATTCTACAGACAAAGGAGTACTGGATTCACCATATGATTCAAGAATAAGCTGCAGATGGAAGGACTATGTAGCGAAGTCAAACAGGAAGGTACGACAAAAAATGTGGAAATAATTAAAACCACTATCAATGTGGCACTATTTGACATTCACTTATTACACACACAAACAATTATATTTATCCAACATAATTTGAATTATTTGGTTTCTAAAATGTGCTCACTTGAATCAAAATCAAAGTTTTATGAGAATAATTGCACCAAATTAAAGTTTAGGTGCCGTATTGTTATTGTGTACTTTTGATATTTATTTCTAGAAACAATGAAAATATGAAAACAGCTATAACCTTATCCAATATGGCAGCCTCTTCTGTACGCATTAGTTCCCTAGCTCTTGAATTCCTTAATTCCTTTTCATATTTCTCCTAAAAGGAGAGGGAAAAAAGCATGAGCTAATAATTCATGACCAAGAGTGCTGTAGAAATTAAGGTGTAAGAAACCATATAGTACAAATTTCAGACCTTCAATGCTTGTTTTTCTTCAGCAAAAGCATGTGCATCCAGCTCAGCTTGTCGCTTTTCGGCAGAATGAATGGCTTGGAGGAAACTGAGAACTAATTTTCCATCCTTGGATAAATATCCCTCATTTAGTTCCTCAACTGCTGTACCGAAACCCTACCATGTTAAAAAGAATGAAAACTTAGTGTTTACTGATACTCTCCCTTCTCATATGTATCAAACAATAATTAGGCAGACAACCTCTGTTTCTTTAGAAAGCTGCTCATATTTTCCATTTAGAGAAGCTAAATATCTTTCATCTGCCTTGTCCCAAAGGTGATAGGCATCAAGAAGAGAATTTGGAGCCCCTCTATCTTCAGTTGGTTTAGCCTGCATCCAAGAAGCACAAAATGTGATCTTGTATCAAGTCTGATAATAAGTGAATTACAAAGAACATGCCGTGCTTTTGCCACTTCACATATCAGTTTTCCCAATTTAAACACAAAAATAAAAGAGATGCTGGAACCCTAAGCCAATCTTCTTAGGGAATCAAACTGTCATGGTGGGAGGAGAAGGGCGTGAACGCGAAGAGGATGAAGGAGAATTGGGGGAAATGAGACAAGGGTTAGGGATTGAGAATGATAGATTGGGAATTATGGCACGAGAGGGAAATGAAGACAATTTACCTTTGGAGCGGATCAGAAGTGGAACGGATGCGGATCAGAAGTGGATCGGATCTGAAGCAATAAGAGCAGCCCAATAGCCCATATCTGCAAAACAAATGAGAAAGAAGAATTTGTTATATTCTGTTACAAAGGATTGCCAGCTGGCATCCTTAGGATTCTGGTATTGTAACTAAATAAAACAAACGGTGATGAGGTATTTTCCTCATGTGATGAATGAACAACCATTTCTTCTCTGAAAACTCTCAATTCTTCTCTATTCTTATTCCCTATTTCTCAATTTCTCTTCTACTCACCTAAAACCATAACAAATTGGTATCGAGAGCTACGATTCTGGCAAGATTTTTGAGGGCATGACAAAGAAGAACCAATCGATGGCAGAAGCTGATTTGGCCGGGATTCAGAAACAGATTGAAGACCTTGCTGCTTTGGTGAAACAAGGTCAAAATGAGACTAATCCACCTAAATGGTGGGAGACTCAGGAAAATAGGATTACTGCATTGGAGGCAAGAATGACCACGAATCACAGCTATGTGGAAGAAATATTGAAGATCTTAACTGGCAGAAATGGTGAACAAGAGCAGCCTGCAGGGGATCAGGTATACTCTCCTAATAACTCTAAAAATGGGGAGAAAAATCCTGTTTTGGTGACGGTAGTTAAGGATAAATCAAGATTTTCGTATAAAACTGATGAACCGGGGATCTTGAAGGATAAGCCTGATGCTTGTTTAGCCATTAAGAACAGTTTTAGGCATGAGAATTTAATGGGTGAAAATAGTAATATTAGACCTGTTATGCTGGGACTGGAAACTGAAAACAGGGGAACAGGGGGGTCATTTAGCAGCTCGGGAACTATGTGGCATAGACCCAAAATAGAGTTGCCATTTTTTTGAGGGGGTAAATCCTAGGGGATGGCTTCAGAAGTGTCTCAAGTATTTTTCCTTGTGCAATGTTCCTGTAGATCAAAGGGTAGAAGTGGCTACTATGTATCTTACAGGAAAAGCAGAAATATGGTTTGATGGCTATATTATGCAGAAACATCATGTAACTTGGCATGAGTTTGAAGCTGATTTGTGCCATAGATTTAGTGACAGGTCTTTTTGTGACATTGTGGAGGAATTCACTAAACTTACTCAAAAAGGATCTGTTGAAGATTATCAAGAAAGGTTCGAGGAGTTACAACCACACATGCTATTACAGAATCCTACTTTGGGGGAGGATTTCTTTGTGTCACTTTTCATAAGTGGATTGAGAGAAGACATCAAACATAGAGTAAAAGCTTTAGATCCTAAAAATTTATCTGAAGCATGCAAACAAGCTAAGCTCTATGAGTTATCTGTGGAGTTTGAAAACAGAAAGTTGAGACCTTCCTTTAAGGTCCCACCCTACCCAAACCCCATTATTACTTCCAAGACAACTTCAGTACCCCTACCTACTAAATCCACACCAATTTCCAATCCTAAACAGAATCTTATTGATTACAGAAGACAGAATAATCTTTGTTTTAAGTGTGGAGAGAAATTTCAGCCAGGGCATCAATGTAAAACAAGAAACTTTAATATGATGATTGAAGAGGAAAGTCCTATACCTACAGAATCTGTTCCTCCTGACTCAGACCAACAGATCATGCAAGAAGAGGAAAGCTTAGAAATTTCTATGAATGCAATCACTGGGTGCATTAGTCATAACACATTGAGGATCCAAGGAACAATTCAAGGCAAAACCTTGAACATACTGATTGACAGTGGCAGTACACACAGTTTTTTGACTCCTCAATGGGCTGATGCTGGCATTCAAGTCCTAACTCCATACCCTTTGGCTATTACAGTAGCTAATGGTCAACAGCTATTTAGTTCAGCTAGATGCAACAAAGTAGAATGGCAGATGCAAGGACACTCTTTCATACATGATTTCAGACTTCTTAAATTGGGAGGAAGTGATATGGTGTTAGGGGTGGATTGGATGAAATTATTTAGTCCAATTCTGATGGACTTTAATCAGATGACAATGAGCTTTAAACATCAAGGGGAGAATATTGTTATACAAGGGCAGCAACCTTCACTGCTTTTGCAGCAGATTTCAGGTGCTACCTTACTGAAAATAACAGCTCAAGATACACCTATTTTGGGACATGTGGTTTTACTGAGTATGACTGAGACTCCTAAATCCATTCCTCAAGTTCTTAAACCTCTTTTAAAGAAGTACAACTCTATTTTTGATGAACCTAAAGGGTTACCACCTAGAAGAGCTCATGATCATGCCATTCCTCTCAAACATGGATCTAGCCCCATTAATTTGAGACCATACAGATTTCCTCATAACCAGAAAACTGAAGTGGAACAACAAATTGCTGCTATGTTATCTTCTTCTATTATCCAACCTAGCAAGAGTCCCTTTGCTTCTCCATGTCTTTTAATTAAGAAGAAGGATGGCACTTGGCGGTTTTGTGTTGATTATAGACAATTAAATAATCTGACTGTGAAGGATAAGTTCCCTATTCCGGTTGTGGAGGATCTATTGGATGAGCTACATGGTGCAGTTTATTTTTCCAAGATTGATTTAAGGTCAGGCTATTGGCAAATCAGAATTAAAGAAGAGGATATCTACAAAACAGCATTTAGAACTCATCAAGGGCATTATGAATTCAAGGTAATGCCTTTTGGTCTAACTAATGCTCCTGCCACATTTCAAGCATTAATGAATGATTTGTTTAAATCATTTCTTAGAAAGTTTGTTTTGGTGTTCTTTGATGATATTTTAGTTTACAGCAATTCTATGACAGAACATATTACTCATTTACAATTAGTTTTGGAGGTTTTGCAAGTTAATCAGTTATTTGCAAAGCTGTCCAAATGTTTCTTTGGACAGACTCAGGTGGAATATTTGGGGCATATTATTTCAGCAGCTGGAGTAGCTACAGATCCTACAAAAGTAGAAGCAATGAGGAATTGGCCTCTTCCTAAATCTTTAAAATCCCTGCGTGGATTTTTGGGGTTAACGGGTTACTACAGAAGGTTTATTGAAAATTATGGGTCCATAAGTAAGCCTTTGACTCAATTGCTTACTAAGGACAATTTTCAGTGGACTACTACAGCTTTGACTGCTTTTGAGAATTTAAAACAGGCTATGTGTGTTGCTCCTGTTTTAGCTTTACCTGATTTCAGTAAAAGTTTCTGTTTGGAAACAGATGCGAGTTCAGGAGGAATTGGTGCTGTGCTATCTCAAGAGGGAAGACCTATTGCTTATCTAAGTAAGGCTCTAAGTCCTAGACATTCTGCCCTCTCTATCTATGAAAGGGAATATCTTGCTATTTTATTAGCAGTTTCTAAGTGGAGGCATTACTTAGAGAGCAAGCCTTTTATTATTAAAACTGATCATGAGCCTCTTAAGTATCTACTGGAGCAGAAACTGACAACCACAATCCAAAAGAAAGGGTTAACTAAATTACTGGGGCTGGACTATTCTATACAGTACAGAAAAGGTAAGTCAAATACTGTAGCAGATGCTTTGTCAAGGCAATGGGAAGATGCTGGTAAATGTCTAGCTATTGGAACTACTTTGCTTATTCCTAGTTGGGTATATGATGTCGAAAACAGCTATAAGGATGATAAATTAGCTGCTGACTGGATCAATATTTTGACTGTGACACCTACTGCTGATCCTAATTGGAAATTTTCAAAAGGAATACTCAGATTTAAAGGCAGAGTTTAAATTGGTTCTACTGGGTTTCTTAGACTACAAATTCTTCAAATTTTACATGACTCCCCTCATGGAGGTCATTCTGGGACTCAAGCTACTTATCAAAGGATTAAATCCTATTTTTATTGGCCTAGGCTTAAGGCTATGGTAGTCACTTATATTAAATCTTGTACAGTTTGTCAACAAATTAAGGTGGAGCATATACCTAAACCAGGACTACTACAGCCCCTTCCTATTCCTCAACAGGCTTGGGAGGTGATTACTATGGATTTTATTGAAGGCTTACCTACTTCCTTAAGGAAAAATTGTATATTGGTGATAGTAGACAAGTTTACCAAATATAGCCATTTTATGGCATTGTCTCATCCCTACACTGCAGTTGAGGTTGCTAAGCTATATCTAGACAATGTCTACAAGCTCCATGGTCAACCTAAAATGGCTATTTCGGATAGAGATAAAACATTTACTAGTCTCTTTTGGAGAGAGCTAATGAAGCAGTTGGGTACTACAACTTTATTCAGTACTTCTTACCATCCTAAAACAGATGGTCAGACAGAGAGGGTTAATCAATGTCTTGAGCAGTATTTAAGAGGCCTCTGTTTTTTACAACCTAAACAGTGGGCTAAGTGGTTGGCTCATGCTGAGTGGTGGTATAATACTACCTATCACACAGCCTTAAACCTAACACCTTTTCAGGCTCTATATGGTTATAAGCCTCCTACAATGGTTTGGCAACCAGATGCTACAGTTTATTCTGTGGGTGAACTAATGAGAAGCAGGGAAGAAATCAGACAAATGGTGAAGCAACAATTAGAACAGGCTGCAAACCGAATGAAGCAACAGGCAGATAAAAAGCGTTCAGAAAGAAGTTTTGCAGTAGGGGATAAGGTTTACCTGAAGTTGCAACCTTATCGTCAAACATCCCTTGCACTCCGAAAGAATTTGAAGTTAGCAGCGAAGTTTTATGGGCCGTATAAAATTACAGAACGAATCGGAGAGGTCGCGTATAAGTTAGAATTACCTGAAAATTCTCGATTGCATCCAGTCTTTCACGTCAGTATGTTGAAGAGGCATATTGAGCCAGTCGCAACATCTTCGACAGAGCCTCCTGTGGTCGATGAAGAAGGTCAGTTTCGCATAGAACCCAGTCAAATTTTGGGAAGGAGAATTATAAATCGAAATAACAGGCCAGTTACTCAGTTACTCGTTCGATGGACTAACCTGGACGCCTCGCATGACACCTGGGAAGATTATTCAGTACTCCAAGGCCAATTTCCGTCTTTTGATCCTTGGGGACAAGGATCCTCTCGAGGGGTGGGTATTGTCATGGTGGGAGGAGAAGGGCGTGAACGCGAAGAGGATGAAGGAGAATTGGGGGAAATGAGACAAGGGTTAGGGATTGAGAATGATAGATTGGGAATTATGGCACGAGAGGGAAATGAAGACAATTTACCTTTGGAGCGGATCAGAAGTGGAACGGATGCGGATCAGAAGTGGATCGGATCTGAAGCAATAAGAGCAGCCCAATAGCCCATATCTGCAAAACAAATGAGAAAGAAGAATTTGTTATATTCTGTTACAAAGGATTGCCAGCTGGCATCCTTAGGATTCTGGTATTGTAACTAAATAAAACAAACGGTGATGAGGTATTTTCCTCATGTGATGAATGAACAACCATTTCTTCTCTGAAAACTCTCAATTCTTCTCTATTCTTATTCCCTATTTCTCAATTTCTCTTCTACTCACCTAAAACCATAACACAAACCTCACTATAAAGCCTTTCATTGCCTAGAAAGTAGACAAGGAAATGCAGTGGCTATTTGTCAGCCTCAAGATATATTTCCCAACACAAAAAAAAAAAAAAAAGGATTCATGCTTTTGCCATATCAATTAACAGTCTTCCACCAATTAAACACAAAGGCATAGAAGAAGCTTTAGCCCTAGTAAGTGCAATTCTAATCTAATTTCTTGGGGCATGATGCATGAAATCTCCCTATACAGAGCCGTTACTTGCCTATAAAATGAACAACAAAATGAATTGGTTCTTTGTCATTGAAGCATTAGCTGCGTATCCAAGAACCAAACAGTATCTGAATCGTTCACACACGTAAACAATAAAGTAGCAAGAAACCATCCAATCATACTTCTTTTTACCCTTTAAACCAACAATGTGCTGAAGAACATAATAAGTGCAATGCAGATCCAGTATTAAGAAAAATCAGACAATAAAACATGAAGAAAAACAAAGAGACAAGGAGAGTTTAATTTCACTAGCCTACCTTCAATTGATAAAAATGGTTCATGCAGGATTACCATGAAGTTACGAATCATAAACAAAAAAAATGTCAGGTGTTAAAATGAGAAACTAATGAGAGAAACAAAGATACCAGAGGTATGTCTGCTATAGCGGGATGCAAAAATGGAAAATCTTTTATTTGGCTTTCTTTAGGGGCTAAACTAGACACTTCTGCACCTTTACTTTGTTCATCCTGCAACAGTAGAACATGAAAAGTAGGTGTTATATTGAGCCAGTGTAAGACAAACATACTTTGATAAAGATAGTATTCATTCAGTATTGGTTACAGGAATGTACAGACAGCCTAGAGAAAAGGCTGGTAGTCTTCCCCCATTTAAACAGACATAAAGGAGATGTTGCAACCCTAAGCCAGTTTCTTAGGGGATAAAACCTCCCTATATAGCCTTTCCTTGACTACAAAGTCATAGATTCTTAGTTATCCTTACGCACTATAATTGTGTATATATCCCAATACAAAGAACATGATCTGCTCACACTTTTGTCACCTCAGTTAGCAGTCATCCCCAAATAAACACAGACATTAAACAAGTTTTAATCCCTCAGAGCTGCAATCCTAAGCAAATGTCCTAGGAGATCAAGCCTCACCATGAAGCTCAAACAACAAAACATGAAGTGTCATAGAGACGAGAGTTTAAATAAGTTTGATTGAGTTACCTTCAAGAAAGAACAATGGTTCATGTAGAAATTCCATGAGGTTACAAATCAGGAACAACAGAATGTAGAGTGTTAAAGAGAAACCAATAAAGGAAAAAATGTTACCTGAGGTATGTTTGATGTACTGGGATGCAGAGAAGGCACAGCTTTTATTAGGCTTTCTTCAAGGGCAAAACTAGTTGTATCTGCATCTTTACTTGTTTCATCCTGCAATAACAGAACACCAAAAGTGAGTTTTGAAATACTGAAAAAGGCTTAATACCAAAATAAGTGCACAAACTATACCACTTTTCCCGAATAGGTTACTAAAGTATTTTTTGACTCATCTTGGTGCCTAACGTTACAAACGTTACCACTTTAGGTGCTTGGGTCGTCAACGGTGCTAATTTCTCTCATTTAGTGACAGTGTAAAAATTTTATTTAAAATTAAAAAAATAAAATTATATATTTTTTACAAAGAAAACACAAAAATTTTGAAATAACCCCAAAACTTTGAAAACCTCCATTTCAACCCCTAAACCCACGTTGTCCGCCGCCCTTTGCCGTCGACAAAGCTCCACCCGAGCTCACGTCCCCCCGACGACCAAAACCCCTATTAAATCGTGACTGATCGTCGGCTAATCGACGACGAATCGACGTTTTATACCCCGCAAACCCTAGGATGAAAATCGTGATCCCACGCGACTTCGACAACCAATCGGAGGCAACTATGGTGGCGTGTGACCAGGAGGATGATAGGAATTACGTCGACGGTGGTGGTCGAGGGCGGAAAGGGCGGCTGCAAGTTAAGGTTAGGATTTGGGGATTTTAGGGATTTTGGGTTTCTTTTAATAATTTAAGAGAAATTAGGGTTTTTTTATAAATATAATAATAATATTTTTAATATTTTTTAAAAATAAATTTTAAATTTACCAAATTATGACACGTGTCACTTAACGGAGAAAATTAATGCCGTTGACGGCCCAGACACCTAAAATGGTAACTTTGCAACATTAGGCACCTGGATTGGTCAAAAAATACTTTAGGTACCTATTCGGGAAAAAAACGGTATAGTTTGGACACTTATTTTGGTATTAAGCCTACTGAAAATTTCTGCACCCGTGCAAACAATTAAAAAAGGTTGTCAGATTCAAAGATTCAAGGAAATTATATTGGAAGCAATACGAATGTACATAAATGCACACATAACTTGCCATGATGTTCATACGGAAAATGAGTGACAATTGGCCAAGGGGTGCTGCAGTCATAATTGGTTTATCGAGTGGTAGGAATATAGCAGCAATACAGTACTAACAATGACAGAGCAGTCCATAGTTCATATTGAAGTGCATTTGGTCCACTCTAACCCAAGACCAATTGCTTGCACTCACGTAATACTGAAAAGATAGAATCCGAGCATGGATGCTGAAGCATTCTTCAAAATTTCATAACATCTATATGTCCAAGTATTCCGTATCAACATAAATATAGAATGCAGAGAAAACAGCACCTGTAGATTGTCTGTAGTAGTATGAGAATGAGGTTCTAGAGCTTTTGCCTCCTTTTCTCCGAGGGATGCACTTGATTGGGAATCCAATTGAAAATCTTGAATATCCTTGCTTGGCATCAATGCAGGTTCAGGCTCCGCATTTCTAAGATCCCCCTCAGCTGATACATCAGCATCTGCAGTGTGATCACCAGAAGGCAAGCTGCTTTCAGAATATTCTGGTCCTGGCATTGTGCTATCTCCAAGTGTCCCATCCAAGCCATCCAACTTTCCTTCAGCATTAGGCTGGTTTAGCCCTGGGGTTTCACTCGAGCTTTCAAGCAGGGAAGGAAAATCAATAGGAGTTGCTTCCTCTTGCTCGTGCAAGTCCACATTAGGAGTTAGCCCTTTTATTTCTTTGTTATGAGAAGCAACAACTTGAATATTCTCTTCATCTTTATTATCAAAACCAGTTTTCTTCGAATCAACATAACTCTTGGGCACTTCACCAAGATATTGATCTAAGTATCCGACTCGGTAAGCAACCAAGGCAGCACCAACAACAATAACCGCACTGCCAATGACAGCTCTTGGAAACCCACTCTTCGATTCAGGCGGAACTCCGGTTGAACCAGGATTTGGAGTAGTATTTTCTCCAGGAGAGGTACAAAATTGCTTTCTCGAATAAAGAAACGGCGATGAACTCTACATATTTTAAACCATACGTTTCAAACCGAAGAAATATAAGAAAAAGGAAGTACATTGGAACTAGAAAATTCATATTGAAAACCGAGAACAGATGAATTTACCTGGGATATAATCTGCCTTGGTATTCTCTGACGAGACCCTCGGTGACTTGATAGTTCCAAAATTGACCTTCGAAGCATGCTGCTGAATTTTCCCTTTTTGCTAGAGTAATTGGGATATCGAACCTCTATAGGGTAAGGTGTTTGCGAATATTACTGAAAGAAGAAGTGAGGTATTAGGTAGGCTGTTGGCATTGAAACAAATTGTTTTTGGTTAGCGACGAATCACGATCGCTTTCCACCCCGAGAGCCACATGGGAATCGCCGTGGGAGCTTGGAACTTGCAATCCGGAATTGGAAATGCAGTATAGCGTGATTAACACAATGGTAAACTACACAAGATATCCCTAGGCTTTAGGTTTAGTATAATTTTTATCACATAATTTTGATTTTCAGATCATTTGTATTATTCAGAGGTTAAATCATTAATAGTAAACAGAGGAACCTCTTTAATATTCTTTTTATTTTTTATTTTTAACATTCGTCAAAAAAATTATTATTCTATGATATTTCTTATAATTATTTTAAACATTGTTTTGGGATAAATTTCATGTATATTATCCAAGGAAAAAACAGAGGAACCTGCTACACAAACTAAAGTATTTAAACAAAAAACGAAAATACTCTACAAAACAACTCCCCAACTAACACAAAGATCCCTGTTAACCGTATCATCTCTATCCACACTCTAATTCACAAGTATAGCTCGTATAATCTCACAAATAATCCTAAGAATCACTTTCTAGTCCCTAGTCAAGTTATTAAATTGTCTACCAGTTATTTCCTACCAGTTATTTCTTAGGAAATAACCGCATTCCTAGCAATCCTAAGGATAAAGGAAATTAAAGACTTACCTTAAGATGCTGAGATGCCCATTCAAGCTCCTCTTCCCAGCTCAAAACAGACCTATGAAGATTGCACATCTCCAAAACAGTCTTCCAAATTCTTTGAACAAAACAACAATCAAAAAATAAATGATTTTTTTTCTCCAAATCATCATAGAAAACACACTTACCTTCCACAACAATTCCTTTTTGCAAAAGTCTATCCTTGGTGGGAAGCCTTCCAAGGATAGCCATCTACCCAATAATATAATGTTTGGGCATGAGCAAAGGAAACCAAAGAGATGTGTGCCATCTTACCTTATCACCCCTCAATCGAATTGAATCCCACACCCACCTCGATGTAACACGCTGCAACCCAGCAGTAGAAGCAAAGAAAGAGGTAGCGAGTTTCCTCCCTTAAAGCCAACAATTTTCGCACAATCCAGCTAACGGTACTCTTGGGCCGAACATCCAAAAATTTTGCCCCTTCAAGACATAGGCAAAAACCCATGCAACCCACAAAGATCCACTGTCAAAATTTTCCGAACTAGCAAGAGCATACACGACCTATTCCAGTTCTTTATGCTACTCTGTCGATTTATATCTTTTAATACTTTTTAACTCATAAAATTAAACGTAAATTTCTATCATGTTTACAGTTTGAGGATTTTCTTAAAATTGAAGGTTTTTGAGGTGTTTGTTAAAATAATCAAAAGTCGAGAAGTATTATTTTGAGAAAATAAACAATAAATCTCAAAACTAGTCTCATTAAACCATCGTCAAACAAATTCAAAATATTAAATCGTCCAAATTTTTTTTAAATAACCGATATTTATTAACTAAGCATACTGTCAGAAGTGACCACTGCACCAATAACGGTAGTACAGTTTGAAAATCTAAAGGCGTAGATGAGATAGAAGCATAATTTGCAAGAGCATGAGCCACGCCATTAGCTTCTCGTTGGACAAATCGAACTGAAATGTACGGATGAGTAGCTAGTAATTGTTGAGCTTCACGAAGAATAAAACTAGATAATAGAGCGATCACTTAATGGGTTGTGAAGCTATTGTACATAGGGATGGGCATGTACATGAATCGGATGGGTTTCGACCCGATATAATCCGATCGAGTCAAAAAAAATTTATAAAAAATTCGGGTTTGGATTAGGTTTTTTAAAAGTGATGTTTGGGTCAGGGTGGGTCGGATTCGGGTTTAGGATAAAAAATACTCAATTCGACCCAATCCGAAAAAAATTTACCTTATATATTTAGGAATAATTATAATAATATCGCTCTATATATTATTTTTTAAAAATTAAATTACTGTTTTTATTGAATAAAAAAATATTTTTTATTATTTCAGGTCGAATCGGATTATGTTCCAATTTTATCTCAAAAAATTAGATTTAATTCAAATTGAGTGAAAGATATATATTTTCGGGTCGGGTGAATGATGTAAAATTTTTGGGTTCAATAAGATTGGCCCAAACTCGACCTACCATCCCTAATTATACAACATCCCAAGAATCGCTTTCGGTCACCATACTCGATAGCTTAACTTTCAGCGCCAGTCGAACACCGTGAGAGATTGCCAAGGCTTCGATAAAACCCGTAGAACGCGGTACAAAAACCTAGAACGCTCGGCTTGTCATAACCATGCCAGAACTATCTCGAAGTACCATGCCAATAACGGGCGGAGCAGGTGAACGTGGACAGGCACCATCAACATTAACTTTGAAGGATCCTGCTGCAGGTTTGATCCAGCGATGAAGTCCCGATGCCGTAGTAGCAGCAGTGGACGTTGATGTTGTCGTGTCAGTGACAAAAGCTGATTGAAGGGCGACGCCGGATATAATGAGTTGCCAACCGGGAAGTAGTTGACCTTCATGGAAAAAAGATTCTGCCTATGCCAGATCTTCCAAGTCAAAAGTATGATGAATCGGTGCACCAGTAGAATGTTCATCAAATGCTCCATCCAAGCACCAAATGATGAGAAAACCTGCTGATTTTGCGCATTGGAAAAACCAGCCTCCGCCAGTATACGAGCAACCAGTGGGCAGTCACGCAAAGCGTGAGAAACAATTTCATTTTCTGATCCACAAAGATAGCATTGAACGCTGCCAACACCTGTATGAGCAAGTTGACGTCCGACAGGCAAGGCTTCATGAGCGGCTCGCCAACCAAACATCCGAACTTAAGGAGGCATGTGAAGCCTCGACATGAAGAGCCACAATCGTGATGTCTGTAGCGTTATCAATGACTGACGAACCAACCATTTATAACCAGATCTCACCGAGTACGAATCGTTAGAGTGCCCACTCCAAATAAGCGTATCAAAAGGAACAAGAGAGATTGCGCATAACAAAATCTCATTTGTATCAGTTGGATTAAAAACTTATTGAAGTAATGGAACATTCCAAAGAGCAACATCAGGTATCATGAACTCCCTGCAAACAATAGGCTGTGAAATATCATTTAGATATTTTGAATGTAGTTGAATTGGGTGAAGTCCACCAAGCACCATGCATATGGACAATACTGTTAATATATAGTCGGCAATGAAAACCAGACCTTAATTCATGAATGGCTTTGAATAAGCTTCTTCAAACGTAGGAAGGTGATCACCAAGTGAGGCATTTAATATATGGCTTGTCGAGAAATACTTCGCTGTGAAAATGCGGACCAATAAATAGTTAGAATGTTGAATCATTCTCCATAATTGTTTACCCAACATCACAATATTGAATTCCTGCAAATCATGAAAGCCAATTTCCCTAAGCATTTGGGTTGACGAAGAGTGTGTCAAGCCACAAGAGACCACCCTCTGGATGAAGAGTCACCCGTCCACCAATAAGTGCGAAGTAAAGTAGTATTGTCAGAAATTACCCCATCCGGAATTAAAAAATGGTTTACATAAGTTAGAAGCATCTATCACACCGCTTTAATAAGCACCGCACGGCCACCATAGGAAATTAAATTCTTATTCCAACTACGAGCTCTAGTAGCCACTTTGTCCCGTAGAAATCTGAAGGTCTAGTTCTTATTACGACAAACAATCAGAGGCATACCAGGATACATACCTGGGTCTATAATCGTAGAAACACCGACCATAGATCTTAGATTGGCTTGTAAAGTGGTAGGCGTAACCGGAGAAAAATAAAGACCAGACTTTGCATAGTTAACTTTCTGGCCAGACACACACTCATATAAAGCAAGTACCTCCCGAACACGAGCAAATTCCGATTCTGAATTTCACAAAAGTAATTGGCAATCATCAGCATAGAAGAGGTGCGTGACACGTGGATCAGACCGACTAACCCGTATACCCTTAATCTAGTTATGTTATTGCTCTTAATGAAGAAGGGAAGAGAAGCCTTGGGCACACATGACCAAAAAGAATGACCCTTAATCGAGATGGTTGAAAACTGTCTGAGAGGCAGCTATTAATGCGGACTTGATAAAAGACAGAGGTGACACAGGACATGATCAGTTAAATCCACCGATCTGTAAAACCAAGTCAAAGAAGTATAGCTCGAAGAAAGGTCCACTCAACCCGATCATACATCTTTTCCATGTCTAACTTCAAAGTAGCACCCGAGGTGAATATTGTGCTATTGCATTGATCTAGAATTTCATATGGTACATTTCCTTGACCTATCCTGAATAGCAATGTCTCACTGGTGTATATTTCACCAAAGCAAGGCGGAATTGGTTGTTGCAACATGGGATAAACAGTTTCACAGCTCACAGATGGCTCAGAAAGTCAATCTCTTTTACCTTGCGAATGATATTCTACAGAACAGCAAACACAAAGGAAATGAATTTGTTAATGAGTTCTGGAAAGTCCTTCCTTCAGCCTTGAAGGACCTTCTTGAGAATGGTGATGACCATGGGAAGAATGTGGTTTCTAGATTGGTAAGTTTCCTTTTGGCTAGATTGGTAAGTTTCCTTTTGGGGAACTCTTAAGGAATACAAATGACATGGCTCTTTTTCTTGTGTCATCCGGAAAACTTGTTTGTATTTTTAGAATGACTGTGATACATATAGTGTTTGTCTCATTTGTTATCATTTCATAATATTTATAATTTATCCATTGGCATTTTAATATGTTCTACTAACTGAATGCTTTTGTTATTGGTCACAGTGTATTATTTCATAATATTTATGATATACCCATTGGCTTTTTAATATGTTCAAGTAACTGAATGTTTTCATCTGGCTTGGTTTAGTTATGTTAACTTGGATTATGCTCTACTGTGAGAGATACCTCCAAAAACACCCAATATTATGGCTCGTTGTACTTGTATGTTAGGCATGCAATCAATTATGCTACAGTATCATGTTATGCATTTTCAATTAAAAATTGTTAGGTAGGTATATGGGAAGAACGAAGAGTCTTTGGGTCCCGAGCACGAAGTCTAAAGAATGTGATGCTTGGTGAAGAAGTGCCTCCACCATTGGAATTAAGCAAAAAACGATCGTGTTCTGCATCTGTTAGAAT